ACATTGCCACGCTTCACCAAATGACCAAAATGGGATTGAATCTTCCCCTAGAACATGGAAGTATCCACTGCCACAACATGGAAATACACTCTGCCAAACACCGGAAATGTTGCAGTGCATATTTCCATGTTCTCGCAACAGATGCATTCCCATTTTGCTCATCCTATGGATGGAAAACTCTCTCTCTCTCTCTCTCTCTCGCGTGCGCGCGCGCGTGCGCGCGCGCGCGCGCGCGCGGCGACATTTGCATTTGACAGCTCCTTAGTTCATACTCACACCGGGATTTCTTTTCAATGTTTCTGTTCGTCGCGCTCTATCAGGAGATTCCTTCTCATTTTGCACATTGGCAGGCTGCTCAGTTTGATGCACGCATGAAACTGTTGAATTGCAGACGTGAGTTCGAATCCACCTGCCACCACTACAAAATAGTTCTGGTTTACAAAGGATCCGACGGCGTAATGATGCCGTGGCCGATGCCCCCCCGAATGCTGCGCGTCCCTCATGTTCTAAAACAAACACCCTCAATGTCGCCCGGGCCAGATAATGACCGTGCCTGGGGTGGGGCTGGCGCTCGGCCGCAGCAGGTTCACTTGTTATAATTACCATTTATTTTGGGCTTAAGCGTCCATTGAAGTTTGAATATGGACTTTATTTTTTTGATCTTACGTGCACAACGCGCCAGAAGCAAGAGTCCCAACCATAGATGCGGCGCATCAACATGCGCTGCAACGCGCACATGCGTCGCACTGCGCAGCACGCACGATGTGCGTGCACGGCATCCGGTGCACGCCCAAATTACAGGGTCCACCAAAAAACAAAAATTTGGGGGGGGGGGAAGGGGGTTGTAGGTGCCCTAGGCACTTCGCGCCGTCCGGTACCAAAAAAAAAAAAAAAATTGAGGGCACGGGGGGGGCCGCAAAAAAAAAATGCGGGGAGATCCAAACAGTTCGTTTTTTTATTTCTCGGACCTACCCCATGCCGGCCCACACCCGGTCATCATCAATCATGTGCATTGGAGCAGGAAGCAGGCCCCCACGTCCTCGTTCAGCCATATCCTGCGCAGCTTCAAACAGCACCGTGCGGGAGGCACAGGGAAGGTGCCGAAGAACGCAGCAGCGGGAAGGGGTGAAGGAAGCAGCCATATCCAGGTGGAAACTGTGCAGCTCCTCCTCCTCCCCATTTCTCCCACATCATTGTTCTTCTCCTCCTCCCCCTTCCTCCCTCCTTCGTCGTCGTTGTCCTACTCCCCCGCTTATCATAGCGCTCTCCTTCGTCATCGTTCTCCTACTTCTCCGCCTTTCTACTTTCCCCCTCCTCCCTCTTCATCGGTGTGATCCTCCCTCCTCTATTTCCTCCGTCCTCCCTTGTCATCATTCTCCTCGTCCTCAATCCTCCCCATTGTTCTCCTTTTCTTCAATCCTCCCTCGTCATTGATCTCCTCCTCCCTCCGTCGTTCTCCTCCCCCTCCCTCCTTCGTCATCAGTGTCGTCCTCTCACCTCCATGCCCCCTCCGCCCTCTACCTTCCCTCTACTCCCTCGTCATGATGTCCTCCTCCCTCCTCCATTCCCTCCGTCCTCCCTCATCATCGTTCTTTTCCTCGTCAATCCTCCCCATCGTTCTCCTCCTCCTCAATCCTCCCTCTGTCGTTCTCCTACCCCTCCCTCCTTCGTCATCGGTGTCGTCCTCCCTCCTCCATCCTCCCTCTGCCCTTCTACCTTCCCCCTACTCCCTCATCATCGGTATGCTCCTCCCTCCTCCATTCCCTCCGTCCTCCCTCGTCATCGTTCTCCAACTTCTCCTCATCCTCAATCCTTCCCATGGTTCTCCTCCTCCTCAATCCTCCCTTGTCATCGATCTCCTCCTCCCTCAACCTCCATCCTTGCTCCGCCCTTCTACCTTCCCCCCACTCCCTCGTCATCGGTGTGCTCCTCCCTTCTTTTTCATCATCGTTCTCCTCCTCCTCAATCCTCCCCATCGTCCTCCTCCCCCTCCCTCCTTCGTCATCGATGTCGTCCTCCTCCTTCATCCTCCCTCCGCCCTTCTACCTTCCCCCTACTCCCTCGTCAGCGGTGTGCTCCTCCCTCCTCCATTCACTCCGTCCTCCCTCGTCATCATTCTTCTCCTCCTCAATCCTCTCGCGCCGATGCGCGAGCCCCGCGCAGCCCCGGGCCACCTGGCGCGCAGCACAGCACGCATCACGGGTCGATGCGCGCGCATCAGTGCACGTGCCGCCCGGGGGCGCGCAGCGCATAGATGCGCCGCAACTATGGTCCCAACGGAACGGATGGATATCTCTGCAAACGCAACAGGTAACTGACAGGCCGTGGGGGATATAGAAATGCTCTGCTTTGATTGTCCAAGTTGTTTGCATTGGGCTGTGGGGGTGCCATTTTTTTTCAAGCACCTTGCAGAACTTCCACTGATCTGTGAGGTTAACCCATAAATGTTTGGTACCAACCATGGGATCCAAGGACCAAGCCCTGGCCAGAACCACGCACAGACAAATGGACAGTTGGACGGATGGAAAGACAGATGCAGTGATGTAGGCAAAAACGGGTGGAAGACACACCAATGGACCAACAGATCAATAGCCAGGCAGACTGATGGATGGACACACTAGCGGATGAGGACAGGGAGCCAAACAGACCACTGGAGAGATGGAGCTGCAGACAGGTCGTCAGCAGGATCCAACATACAGAGCAACTGACAGAACTCCTCACAGATCGTCCGACAAAACGATGGATGGACCAACCAATTAGCACACCAACAGACGAACACAGAGACAAACAGTCAGAAAGGCTGAGGTGCAATGACTTGCTGTTTTCTGGTGGCCTGTAGCCTCTCTCTGTCGAGGCTGTACTATAGGTAGGACAGATTCGTAATTTTGTTTGGCTGAGGGGTAACCGAGTGACCTGCCTGTAAGGAAAATACAGGCTCGTAATAACTGAATTTCCTACAGCTACCCTAACTGCGAATAGCAGGCCCGGGCTACCCCTAGGACAGACAGGCCCTAAAGGCCTATGCTGATAGACGGTCCTATAGCCTATAGCCGGGTAAGGTAGAGGCCGAGAAGCCGAAACTGAAACGGTACCGGTCGGTCCAGTCAGTCCGGTTTAGGTCGTGTCTAGACTAGTGTAAGTTATAGATAGGATGGGCACATCGGTTCAGGGCTTTGGCAGTTGGTACCGAGTACATCGCTGCTGTGCAACACGTGAACCAGAGGTGGTGACGGCTCAGCGTGGAAGGAGACAGACATAGCCAGACCTTCGGAGTGCCGGCCATAGCTGGGACCTGCGCTGTACTCTGTCAGCACGTGGGGCTGTACAGAGGTCTGGGTTATTGAGGTCTGCTGGAGGCAAGGGAAGTTGGTGCCCTGCTGGACCCTCCTCTGGAGTGGGGTTCCAGGGTAGTGGCGCTGCAGCTTCTTCCTCAGAGGTCATCTTGTCAGGAGTGGTGGCGCTGCTGCAGACTTCCACCCGGGAAGTCTTCCGACACTTTGTCATCATCAGATACTGTGACGCTGGTCTTCTTCTTCATCCTCTGAGTGACGCTTGGCCTCAGAGGCCGGTTTCATGGTGGCGCTTCCTTTTGGAGGCTGTATATGGGTGGCGCTTGATGTTTCATGGACTCAGGGGTGTTAATAGCGGTACATCAGGGTTGGGGAGTGAAACGCTGCTCATTTCTGAGCAGCGCATCATAGTTCTGAGGTTATTCTGACAATTTGAGACTCGACTTTAATAAACAGTGTTGATACTGGGTTTGGACTACCATTGCTTCATTGTTCTTGGATGTGATCTACTCGGCTTTCCTTTATGACTGGTTGTGAGGAATGAGCGGAGTGAATTGCACTTTCAGTGTGCCCTGTCATATCGCATGGTCAAGTCTTCCGCTGTGTTTATCTCTCCCTATGCGGTGTGGTACTCCTATCCTCTCCCCTTCCTTCTGTGTATGTATGGGCATACCTGGGAGTCTATGTGAGCGAGTGTTGGTCTTCAGACAACAGACAACCAGAATCATAACAGAGGAGAGAGACAAATGATGACAGAGAAAGACAAAGGCATATTGATCTGCTAACTTGCCAGATAATCTGTGACATGGGCACTGCCACATGCATCTTCTCAGTAAGACAGCGTAGGAATTCCAGCAAATTGGCAATGTGGTCCTTCTCGATCCGATTTTCGATGTTTATTAGCCACCCATCAAATCCAAAGTGAGCAGCAATCTGAACAAGCTGTGATGCATAATGTCTGGCAGACTCCACTGTCGCAAAGATCTTTCTGCAGTGCTCGGCACCCTCTGCCCATTCCGTGATGAAGGTCCCAAGCATCTGCAACCCCATAGAAAACACATAAACAATTCCAAAAAAAATCATGATACACATACTGCTTTACAGGAACAATGTCAGAGGTGAAACCGATACACAACATGTGATCTCAACAGATCAGATTAGTAAAACTGAAAGGCATTCCACGATGCAGACCCCAAATTCGAATTTCAGGGTCAAGGTCTCAGGCCAAGGGAGGCCAGTTCAGAAAGGTCACAGTCGGGTACCGTAGGAGTCAAGTCCAACAGGCACCCGGTGAACAGTCACATCCCAGAGGCAAAGGTTGCATTCTATAAGCAAAAGTCACGTCTCATATTGAAAAGTCATATTCCACAGGCAAAGGACACTTCTCCAGGCAAAAGTCGTGTCCCAGAGGCAAGAGTCACATCCCACAGTCAAAAGTCATGTTCCACATGAAAAGTCGCGACTCCCAGACCCAAGCAGCAGCACACCAATGAAAATTCGGGAAAGTACCAGGCCTTGACATTCTGAAGCAAGCAGGCCGTGGGCATGTGGTACTGGGTCCAAGTCAAGCCAAAGAAGCAGAGGCTGGGACGAGTTGAGGCTCAGTCCAAGTCAATATAAGGACTCAGCCACATTTCGAGGGAGATTGCTCATTCGTGAGAAGTGTGGAAGTGCTGCTGAAGTGCTTGTGCACTATCTGCGAGTAGCATGCACGAGAGCCCTGCTGGGCAGCACCGTTCTGAGAGCGAAGGCGGCGATGGGCACATAGCTAGTAGGAGGAGATAGAGCTGATTGGTAGCGGATGTATTCAGAGTCAAGATCCTCAAGTAGAGAGAGAGAGAGAGAGAGAGAGAGAGAGAGAGAGAGAGAGAGAGAGAGAGAGAGAAGAGAGTCACCTAGCTTAGATGAGAATGCTGGTATTGGGTTGCTGAACTCTGCACTGTTGAATGCTTGGTGACTGGAACTCCGAAACTGTTCAATATGATAATTTGTTGGAATTTTCTGAGCTGCGGATATTTGAACTTTGCATCACTGAACTCCAGTGTGGATTTCGGGACCTCTCAATGTGTGTATGTGCTCAAGGTGTCGAGCAGTGAGGCTAAATGCAAAACCATTTACATCAGCCAAAAGGCTGGAAAAGTGGGCATATTGACAAAGGGGAACTTCTCCATGCAAAACAATGTGATTCACAATTCAGATGAGTTCAAGTGAAGAATGCACATGGAAGAGTGCTGTGATTGCAACAAAGTCATAGGTGGCAAGAAGGGGGGCCTATTGTCAATTCGATCTTGCTGTGATATGTGCCCTCTTGGTTGAACTCTATCCTCGGATGGTTCTTGGGGGTTCTCTTGCTACACATGTCGAATCCTAAATTTTCGGAACAGATTGACTTGATATTGCAATCAAAACAAAAAATCAGGGACCGATATAGTCCATGCCGTGAACATACAACGATGTACATACAAAGGTACGTTGACGAAGGTAACCATGCATTATGAAAGTACATAGATGAACATATATGTCGGTGATGTGGATTGCAAGGGGGATGATGAGGAGGATACTGTCATGGACGCGTTGGAAGCAGACCCTATTCATCTAACTCGGTCGGGCACATGGCTACGCCACATGGCCTGGTGAAAATTCTCTGGAGTCTTGCCTACAGCCATTGATTGACCATCTCCTGAGTCCTTATTGCAGTGTTGAAGCACTTACTGCGAAAGTGTCAGTCTATTCGACAAATGTTACCGATACCGACACTGAGAAACCAATTCAAAGCTAGGGGAACTTGAGTGTATGGGGCTCGCTCCACTTTCGATTCAACACTTGCCCAATGGGAAAAAGACACCGGTGACGAGCAACCGGACTGGCACCCCCAAGAGTAGATGGGGCATGCGTCTTGTGCAGTAAACAGCAAAGAAAAGAAAAGAAAAAAGACAGTGTAATGACCCGTCAAAACACAGACTGAGAACACTGCTGATTTCTGAGTTCTGCCGCTGGAATGGATGCCTTGCTGAGATTCCCACATTCTGCTGAGTTTTCCAAGTCTGTGTGCGTGCGTGCTTGATGGTCTGCGTGCCTGTCTGAGTGCTGGTCGGCCTGCGTGTTTGTGTGACCCGCAGGGGTACTTGCTTGCTTGAGGGCCCGTAGGGCCGGTACTTACCTGTGGCCCTGACATTGAGGGTTGCAGCGGGGGAAAACACTCAAGTTGCGGAGCACGAGGCCCGCGACACTAAGGGCAGCAGGAAAAACACTCAAGTAGCAGGTAGGCCGGTACCGCACCAAGTAGACGTAGGTGTGCCGGGTACTCAAGGCCGAGCAGAAGAAGACAAAGTTGGCATTTTTAGAGGCCCAGTAGTTGTAGGCTAGGTCTAGGCGGGTACCAGTCCAACCAGTCTGAGTCTAGGGCCTGTACGGAAAATATCAGAGTCCGCAATGATGTTTCCCTCCGAAAGGGAGGAGGTACCGGTTGCTTGGGAGGCCGAGCGGCCTAGAAGTCACCACCCAAGAGGCAGGTAGGCCGCTATATCTTCAGGCTGAGCAAGAGCTCAGCCTCATTCTTCGGTGTGCAAGTTTGGCGACACACTGCTTGGAGCGCCGGCTGGAGGGCGCTGGGCACTACAGCGCTGCTGGGAGGAAGGAGATCGGGAGCTCCCACCTCGACTATGGTGGAGCTCTACCGGTAGGAGGCGGGAGAAGAGGACTGACGAGGAGAGTGGCGACGTACGTACCTGGTTATGGTGGACACCATCTTCATCACCTTGATAGGCACTGCATCTGGAAGGCCCAGTTGGGGTGGTGCCGCACCAAGGCAGCTCGGGGCAGAGTCAGGCATGGCGGCTTAATGAGCAGCGACATAGCTGCTTTCGATTGTCCTTTGGACAGGAGGGCAGAGCCCTCAGTAATCCGCCATAGCCTCATCCCACACGAAGAGGAAGAAGAAGGATGGTCATGGCTATGGTGGGCCTCATGTTGTGCTTGGAGTAGAAGAGGGATTCGGACGTTTATTCTGGTTCAGCCATTCAACATTATTATTGTTATTTCTTGATTGAATAAGAGGGGAGGAGATAAGGAGGAGGGAGTGATTGGCAAAGGAGAAGAGCATTATCATTGGTCTATGCTGGTGTACATCATCTTCTTCTTCTTTCCTTCTTCTTCTTCTTCTTCTTTCTCTCTCTCTCTCCTTTCCAAGTTCATTCATTTCTTTTTGCAATTGGACGGCATTGTGCTTCTGATGAATGTGTACTTCGAAGTTGGCCAGGATAGTAACAACAGTATCTTTCCGCCTACTAGCCAAGCATACAGTTGGCCTTTCGCACACTTGTCAGTATTGCAGCGAGGGCCTACGTTTTTTTTCCCTTTCGTAAAAAGGTGACATTCTCGAGATCTCATCATTGAGCTGACCGGCCCCATGCAATTCAGAAATATTTCATCGAGTTGCTTCATCTGGATTCGAACCCGGGTCTGTATTTCAACAGTTCACGGGTGTACCCACTGAGCTAGGCTCTTGGGTCCTACGTCTATTTTCCCGGCTGGGAACAGGTCTGCTTTCCTTATCTATTCAGCTATTTGCCTGTTCGGCCTGTGGGACCAGGCTGTGGCCTACAGGCCGTGTGCTGTTTCAGTCCAG